CGAAGACGACCCGACTTTTACGTGTATCATTTATATGATAGACACAGAGGGCAGACCATAATCGCCTTTGCGAGAAAGAGTACTCGCCAAAGGTGAAGGGATTTTTTGATCGTCTCACACATGCGTAGATATGATAGTGGGGTTACTATATTGGAAGTCAGTCCGACTTTGGAAAACCTGGGTAGTTACACGTATCATTGAAATGATACATAAAGCACTCCGAGGACGACCCGACGTTTACGTGTATCATTTATATGATAGACACGGAGGGCAGACCCTAATATACTCGCCAAAGCGTAATTGGATTTTTGGGAAGAAGTTGCGAAACCTTATTGGCGCGGCTTTTTAAGAGCCAAGTGGTAACTCTTCTATTAGCTATTTAAATGATTGCTGGTACAGTGTACCCGTCTCACACATGCGTAGATATGATAGTGGGGTTACTATATTGGAAGTCAGTCCGACTTTGGAAAACCTGGGTAGTTACACGTATCATTGAAATGATACATAAAGCACTCCGAGGACGACCCGACGTTTACGTGTATCATTTATATGATAGACACAGAGGGCAGACCATAATCGCCTTTGCGAGAAAGAGTACTCGCCAAAGGTGAAGGGATTTTTTTTATCGTCTCACACATGCGTAGATATGATAGTGGGGTTACTATATTGGAAGTCAGTCCGACTTTGGAAAAGCTAGGTAGTTAATATACACGTATCATTGAATGATACAAAAAGCAACTCCGAGGACGACCCCGGACGTTTACGCGTATCATTTANATGATAGACACGGAGGGCAGACCCTAATATACTCGCCAAAGCGTAATTGGATTTTTGGGAAGAAGTTGCGAAACCTTATTGGCGCGGCTTTTTTAAGAGCCAAGTGGTAACTCTTCTATTAGCTATTTAAATGATTGCTGGTACAGTGTGATCGTCTCACACATGCGTAGATATGATAGTGGGGTTACTATATTGGAAGTCAGTCCGACTTTGGAAAACCTAGGTAGTTATATACACGTATCATTGAAATGATACATAAGGTACTTCGAAGACGACCCGACTTTTACGTGTATCATTTATATGATAGACACAGAGGGCAGACCATAATCGCCTTTGCGAGAAAGAGTACTCGCCAAAGGTGAAGGGATTTTTTGATCGTCTCACACATACGTAGATATGATAGTGGGGTTACTATATTGGAAGTCAGTCCGACTTTGGAAAAGCTAGGTAGTTATATACACGTATCATTGAAATGATACAAAAAGCACTCCGAGGACGACCCCGGACGTTTACGTGTATCATTTATATGATAGACACGGAGGGCAGACCCTAATATACTCGCCAAAGCGTAATTGGATTTTTGGGAAGAAGTTGCGAAACCTTATTGGCGCGGCTTTTTAAGAGCCAAGTGGTAACTCTTCTATTAGCTATTTAAATGATTGCTGGTACAGTGTACCCGTCTCACACATGCGTAGATATGATAGTGGGGTTACTATATTGGAAGTCAGTCCGACTTTGGAAAACCTAGGTAGTTGAATGATAATTGAAATGATACATAAGGTACTTCGAAGACGACCCGACGTTTACGTGTATCATTTATATGATAGACACGGAGGGCAGACCATAATATACTAGTACTCGCCAAAGCGTAATTGGATTTTTGGGAAGAAGTTGCGAAACCTTAATAGGCGCGGCTTTTTAAGAGCTTTTTTTCATGAAATTTCACTCCGCAACGTTTCCTTCGCTCTTCGGCGTGTAATATACTAGTAACCGAACCTCGTAAGCCGTGACCCGGAAGTAGATGGGATTAGCGGTATCACGGAAACCCCCATACAGTTCGAAAACCTACGCCAAAATGAGTTCTTAGCTAGCGAATAAAGGTCAACTTTGACGCTACAAAGCTCGTTTTTGTGTACAAGTGTGATCTTCAAGTGAACTTCCCAAGGTTCCCTGACTTGTAAGGATTACAACGACATATATTTTAGCCTGGCTTTCCCGATTCTGACTGCGCTATGATAAATTCTGTGAACCATGCTAAGGACTCATTTCGGCGGTTAACAGTTGTTTTGCGGCCACATGGCTTTGAGATCGAGCCGCTCCTGCAACGGTTTTAGACCCCAATGAGGCCATACGGAGCAGTGCTGCCATCATGTCAACTCCGTCTGACCACCGACCACCAATTGTACGGGATTTCAGCTGAGAAAGGTAAGATTTTATGAATAGCAAAATACGCTTGCCTCGGACCGAGCATATCTGTCCAACCTGAAAACGTCAATACCACAAAATCATTATATTTGTATATAATTTACAATAGTAGTCGCCCATTTAACACAGTTTCTAATGTATTTCACTCTATCGAGGGACGTCATTACAGGCGTATCTATCATATTTAGCAGATTTTTCGAGTCGCTCCATAGCAGCAGTGGCTTGTGGGACATGGACTCCACTGCAGCAGTGTGTTGTGGGTAATTAGGTCAACCGGTAAACTTGAGCGTGAAGGACGCAGAAGTTACTCAAAAGTATCTTTTGTCGCACGTATTGAACGCGTGGACGGCTCAGATACGGGTGAGCATAATTTAGGCACGACCATTTGCAGCCAAGGATCTTCAAAGACACACAAGAAGAAGTCGAGATGTTTTCCAACACTCTCAATAGAGTGTCTTTGAAATGGTGAGTAATACTATAATAGTATAACTTATATGAGATATATAAAACCGTTATGTTTTATATTCCTTATACCTTGATACCTTGATACCGTCTACAGTCGAGTAAGGCTTCTTCCCGCCTGTTGTGGTCACTGGTCTTAGACGGCTTCTTCGTACTTCAGATGCTCCCAGTGTCGATCCAATCTCGTTTTAAACTGGTTGACTGTTTCACTGGATACTACTGTCGACGGCCACAATTATGAAGGACATTATAATGTTGTATGTAATATGGTTTGTGTAGCATGTACTTGTGTCAATGCTGACAGATGTCCCAAGACTGGCACTTTGGGTTATTTTTTTTAATGTATATATTTTTTAAACATTGTGGGACATTATGCCATACATGTATTTGTTATTATTTAGTACTTGAATTTGCATTTTTCTGCCATGATAACAAGCACAGCAAACAAAAGTGAAAAAGGGAAATTAGCCAAAGAAAATCAATGGAACACAGCACCAACTTGAGAAAAGCGTTCATTAAAAAACATTTCACAATTATGTTACTCTCATTCCACAAAATAATGAACTTATTTACCTTTTTAGGATTCAAGATAATGTATCAACTACAACTACAACAACATCTGGACTCCAACTCAAGGACATTGTGCAACGCTTTACCAGAGACACAGCTATTGAGATTGAGCAGAATACATTTTCCAAGATACTTCACCATGAATTTAATGGAAAGTTCAAAAAGCGTAGGCTGGGCAGCGGGCGTGTTACCCACTATGTAGGTTTAACTCTAGTGCAGCCTGTCCAGAACACTGACGCCGGTCCTGCTCTCCAGAACACTGACGCCGGTCCTGCTCTCCAGAACACTGACGCCGGTCCTGCTCTCCAGAACACTGACGCCGGTCCTGCTCTATGTTACTCCTCGAGTGAAGATGGAAGTAGGGAAATGGACAAATCCAATTCTGTAAATGATGACTCCTCTCAGGTGCATCTCGCACCTTTTGTTGACACTCCTAGCCCAGAGGTTTCTACAGGCAATGTACTAGAGACTTTGGATGGTAGTACATGTTTTGTCAATGACAGAGTTTTCCTGTATGAAGTCGGCATGGACTCAACAAAGGTGCGTTCCTTGCAAAGGGTCATAATGTCTAAAGGAGGAGCAGTAGACATATTCCTCGACAGGAACACAACATGCATTGTCTTTGACAAAAAAGGCATTCTTACATCTTTATCTCCTCAGGCAGATCTTGATAAACTGTACAAATCTGGAAAAAGGTTACTTGACATGTCATTTTTCCATGTCTCAATGCTTTCAGACAATGAGATACCTACTAGTATGCCTTACCAAACTGCAGAATCAAGGACACTGAAGTCACCATTTGTTAAGTTTGAGGATTCATCACGGATGTACCGCCCAGTGTACAAAGAGTTTTCTGATAGGGAATGGACATTATGTACATCTTTTCAACATGGCAATATGCTGGAACAGAAACCCCAAAATGTTGGAAACATCACCAAAAAAGGTCCATCGTATTGTGAATGTTGTGGTGAAATGTACATGGACATTATTGGGCATTGTACTTCTACACACTAGGTTTTCTTCAAACCAGGACAACTATAAAAAGTCATGTTCCCTGCAAAGGGCAATACAGTCAAAGGGAGGACAAATAGACCTATTTTTAGACAAGAAGACGACTTCTATTATGTTTGATAGAAGGGGTATACTTGCGTCTTTGTCACCCCAGACAGATTTGGACAAGTTGTGCAACTTTGGGAAAAAGTTAGTGGATACATCATACTTCAACATATCACTGGTTGCAGACAAGGACCTGAAGGAGACACCAATATGTCAAACAGTTGATTCACGTCCACTTAAGTCACCTTTCATTAAAATAGAAGATAAGTCAGGCATGTATGCTCCAATATATAAGGAGTTTAGTGACCATGAATGGACTTCTTGTACTTCTTTTCTATTTAGTACCCAACATGACAACATGCAAAATGTAGTCCACAGACCCCCAAATGCTGAAAACATCAAAGGAAAGCTTACTGTGAATGCTGTGGGGAAATCTACACAGATATTGTTTCTCACTGTAGTTCTTCTAAAAAACATATTGCTATTTGTTTCGAATAAAGACATTTACAAGAAGTTGGATGAATCTATCAAGGTAAGCCCATTGGGCGCATGGCTAACAAAAGAACTCGAGATAAACTAAAGTCAAGGTGAACTTTGTATCGATATGTGGGGTCTTATCCTCTGTAGTTACCACTGGCTTCCTACTGTTGCTGGCTACTATGTCTATGTCGCAGGCTTGGGTATTGTTAGGTAAGATTGATACATATTGTATGAATATAGTTTTTCAATACAGCTTTATCTCTGTCACATGTGACTGTTTATAAGTCCAGAGTGCCAAATATATGATTCAGATGACAAAATGTTTTATGTCACACATACTAGTAAGTAGATACATGTACTTCTATGTTACTTTATTTCTGTGTGTTATATTTGCAACTTTTAATCTATGTTTAGGTGCACTCAAATGTATTTACATATTTATCACATTATGATTCAATAAGGATGAATGTGGCAGCCAGCTTGAGGATGTCTTCAATCTGCTCTGTAATGTAGAGACTTGTTTATTTTTACAAGAATATCATCAACATCAATATCCAAAGAACAATTGCATTTACAACAATGTACTATTTACAAGAACGTCTTGGAACAGAGCAAAGCTGGTAACTTGGAAATTGTTATAAATGTACTAAGTAGTATAATTGACTCTAAAAGCAGGACTTCTTGGAGGCAGCATAGATCCTAAATACAATGTATAATGGATAAAGATGGTATTAAAAGTGGGAATGTCATTTACAATGTTCTCTAAAGTGTTATATTCTACAGTATTCTAGACAGATCCTTAGATATATATATTTGTGTAACTTGTGTGGACACTGCAGAAGTGTTCAATCCGCGAAAATGTATCTTTATACAAGAACTCCATTATGTGGCCTTTTTGAGGCTCTATAATATACATTAAGATTCACTGTTCTAATTATTCTATGAACAACTTATACAAGAAAATGGTCATATATTTACAATTAGGTATTAATGGGAAGGCTTCAAATTATCATGCCTCAGTTCACGAAGTAAATTTTCAAGTTCAAGCACTTTGGAAGCTAAACTCTGGTATAATTTCATTCTATAATTCAAGGCTACATTCAAGATGAACATTCAAGGAACATTTAATAGTAACAGCATTAATAGCATAGCATAACATAACATATCAGAACCTAGTACAGTACAATTATATATTTGAGTTTGCTGCAGGATTTGTAGTCAACTCAGAGTAATTGGCAACCTTCAATTCTGATTTGTAGTACAGCTACACAATGTATAACGTTACATAAACTGGCATGTTTTCTTTTGCACCCTGGCTTATTAATTTCTTCTTCAGAGAACCAGAACAGCTCTCTAAATTAAAGTTGTTGAGACCGAAGTAGACAATGTCCACAAGAGCTTTCTCCAGATGAAAGCAGATGTTTATAAATTCATTAAAAACTACTAATTTTAGTAAGGAGGACAAATGTTTGTATCTTTAGCATGTCTATTTCAAGCAATTGGAATGCCATTTTCCACAGTATTTGGCTAAAAGTAAAAACTAAAAATGGGGGTACAAATGGGACATTAAGGTTTGTTGTGCTTATGATATCAGGCAAAGTCTTTATCACAGAAATGGTTTCTATGGTGGTTTGATAATTATGCCATTAGAGACTCATAAGCCATCACAATTAGAAATCAAGAGGGAGTCAGTACAGATGGGACTAAATTGTTCAGAAAATGGCAGCCCATACTTTGATTTCATAGTTAATAGTGAGTCAGGAAATTAGGAATGATCTCATTCTACTTTTGTTCTCTTACATACATCAAATCAAATTAAATTAAATTGCAAAGTACTGAGTATTCTGCCCAGTGGTGCCGGATGGCATTATGGCCCAACCCACTGTTTTCTATCCCGCCCAGTGGTCAAGCGGTGGCATTAGGGCCAGTTCTACAGGAGGGGGATGCCAGCCCCCCACCCAACCCACTGTTTTTCTATCCCGCCCAGTGGTCAAGCGGTGGCATTAGGGCCAGTTCTACAGGAGGGGGATGCCAGCCCCCCTCCCAACCCACTGTTTTTCTATCCCGCCCAGTGGTCAAGCGGTGGCATTAGGGCCAGTTCTACAGGAGATCCCTCTGTTTGTAGAGGATGTCCACACCTTCTTCCTTTGCATCGTCGTAGGTGGGTTCGTTGTTGGTCGAGAGGAAAAACTGTGCTTCCCATGCCTTAATGGCTTCCTTCACTTCCCCATACTTTCTTAGGACCTGGGACTGTATGGTAGTTAGCTTCCTGTTGTACCTGTTTTGATCCAAATTAAAAAGAAAGGGAAAAAAAGTGGTTAATACTAGATAGAGACAGGGGACCAATATGCCTGAATAATTGTATGAGTATGGAGTTCCGAAATCCTGGAAACATTTTGGACCTTAACAAAAGTTGATGTAAAACTGCAATGCATAAGAAAATTGGATGTTGTAATTGTAGTACAGATATATATAGAATACAACACGGGGTATTCCGTATCGCCCGAGGTACCAGCCCGACCGCTTTCCTGGCGAAGTGTTATGCATTAAATCCCTTCCTTTGACATATTAACTATGATTCTGAATAAAGGACATTGTTTTTCATCATCATCACTGTCACCATTTATACATGTTTTGGGGTTAGTTCTCAACTCTGGACATATTTTTTAAAAAATGGACAGGCGAATTTCGAGAAGCAACGAATTAACTGGGTGTGGCCTTGTTGTAGAAGTCAAGGCACTAGGGTTAATGTAAATACATTCTGCTGACATTCCACTTTATTATTATTATATTATAATATATAATTATATCATGTTGTGCACCCAAAATTCTTTCTGAGCACCAAAATTCTCAGGTCACCTGTGCACCTACATGTACAGTTTGTATATTCCCAAAAATGAATTTTGAGTTCAAGTTCAACAGTCCAGAATGCTAGTGTATCAGTTACTGTACCTACATGTATATGGACCTGTATGAACTTATGCTTGGCACTTGTACCTGTGTATTGTCTGTTATTGTGACCAAATCATTTAAATACAGTTCATCACAATGTGGAACAGACCTAAACTGTGCTCCAGAACATGGCTCCAGAATAGTAACATTTTAAGCAGAGAGCTTGCAACACAATTTCAATCACAAAGCACGAGCTTTTATGCACAGCACAAGTGTTCATTCATAACCTCACTCCACTACATTAAGCTCTAGTGGAATCTCTCTTGAGACCAAATCCAGGCCTCCTGCCACATTGGACCGTAAGGAAAGGGTGCCCAAGTCACTAATAGTACATAATATTACACTACAAAACTACTAGTTTGTCTCCATACAAGGGTAATGATATAATGCTGTTTGATTCCACAGGTGGACAGACCACACCCTGAAGAAGCCCACTATATCCATTACTACAACTGCACGAGACTAGAACCATTAATGGAAAAGGAACAGGGATGTCAGCAAAGACCTAGCAACAGCCAACACCTCATGGAAAGAGGTGAAGAAAACTAACTACAGGTGACCGGAAGCAGTGGATCCGGAGGTACTTCACCGAGGCTCTTGCTCCCCTTGCTCTTGCTCCCTGATGGAGGGACTTCCTGATTCTGGTACTGAAGAGGACTGAGTGAGTGAGTTAATGACTATATATACTTGTCAAATATATGTTTTCCTCCTATACACTTCATTAAACTTAATGGGTAAACAAAACTTTGGAAGACTGGTAAAAACTAATAGTATGTATTTTATCTTTTTCCATGTATACAAATGTTTTATGGATTAGTGTGGCTAATAGTTTAATCTCATGAGATACACACATGTAGTTTACACACCTGAGTTTACTTCAAAGCAGACATCTTCCAGTGGTCCAAAAACTTTGTAGCCAAGTCTCTCTTCTTGAGCAGGTAGTCCATATGTTGACTCTTGGCATCGTCAAAGCTGGGCTCTCTGTTGTTTGAAAGGAAGAACTTCACTTCCCACGCCTTAATGGCCTCCTTCAATTCACCGTACCTTCTCAGCACGCTAGACTGGACAGCAGCTAGTTTCCTGTTATACCTGTTTTGACACGTCAAAACAAAGGATCCAAATAAACAAAAACACCACCAACACTGAAGGATACTCAATGTACTTCTAAACGCTTAGTTTTGGCAGCTAATTAGATTTTTTGTGTTTTTTGGGATGAATGTAAATTACAAGACCAGACTTGGATCTGATCCTCTGGACCTGAACCTCGGCCTGAATGAGTTGTACCGTATACCGATACCGGTAATAAAGAAAGAAGCTGCCACCCTGTCTACCACAAAACAATGATTATCATACATTCCACTTTCAAGCTACATTCCTACCACATTATAAAACCAAAACATGATGCACCGATATTGTAATAGCCTTAAGAAAATAAATGTTCTGATAAAGTTGTAAAAAAATCCACAATATTGTATTTGTAATGTAAGGAAACTGATTATAATTTTTTTTTTTTTGGTATTGAAGGTGACTCAACACGGAATACAGTATACTTACTCTTCCTTCAAGCTTGGTCTCGTCTTGAAGTTTTCCCTTGTCTGATCCAGGTCCTTCAATGAGGGGCAGACACCTAAGATGATTTTTAGATTTTTGCAGAGGGTTGTTTTGTACATGTCGGTTTTGTCAGTTGCAAGCTCCTCTCTGTCTGCCAGCTCCTCTCTGTCTGCCAGCTCCTCTCTGTCTGCCAGATCTCTGTCTGCCGGCTCCTCTCTGTCTGCCAGATCTCTGTCTGCCAGCTCCTCTCTGTCTTCACTCCCTGCATTTAACTCGATGAATGTGACTTCATCTTCTTCTTGTTCCTCTAATTCTGGAGCATGTTGGTGGACCGGTTCTTCAAGGCTATCAGTCTCAGAGGGGCAGGATGCAGGTAACAAGCCAGTGGCAATACATCTCACACTGTCACCTTCTGCGTCATACACCTTTATCTGGATATGCGGAAGAATGAGCTCTTTCTTCTTCAGTTTTGCTACACACATCTGCCACTTGTTGAGCAGGTATTGCTGTTCTTCTTTGAAGCTGATGGATCTGTAGTGATGTAAGGGCGGTGACAGCTTGAAATCATCTTCAAGAGGTCCATCCAAAAACTCTATTCCACTTTCTGCCCTCCTCCACCAGACACCCTCACCACTCTCCAGGAAGTCCGCCAGTCTTTCAAGATGAGGTTGGAAGTGACAGCTGAGGTTCTTCCTTGTAAGCATATACCAGGGAATAAGGGTGTTTGCTTCAGGTAGCATGGTTCGCAGGTGTCGCCCTAGGCTGCTGACTTCACTCTCATCTCTTGACTGTGTGTTGAGCTGGGCAAGCTCTGCTTGTAGCCTTAGCACACCCATTCCCACATCCTCAGCTGGTCGCCGCGATGACGTAGCCGCATATATCCCTTTCAGCTTGGAGAATAGCCTCTCTTGATCCTCCGCATTCAGCGATCTAAGGTTGATCAGTCGATACAACATGGGTGCGTGTATGGAAAGGGAATGGAAATAGGTTCCATACATCTTTCTTGCTGTGATAGCCTTTGTTGCCGTTCCAACAACTTCCCTTAAGAGCATAGAGTGCATGTAGGTTTGATTTGCAAGCCGCAAAATCTGCCGGGGCGATCGTTCCTTCTCAAGCGAATAGCAAATGTGCACGATATTGCACAATGTTGACATCAGTTCCAATACCTTGCTGTCCGCATGGTGCTCAAACAAAGAAGCTGTAGTGATAAGTAGGTGCTTTCGATAGTCTACACCTCTCAGTTGTTCTTTTTCACTTTGTAGAATATTTAGGGTGTCTGTCATTGTGGCTTTGTCTTGTTGGTTAAGATGGTGCGGCAGCTCCTCGAACACATTCTTGATATGTTCCTTTGTGAGATGAAGTGTCTCACACGGAGACACTTCATATCGGGGGAGACCGATTTGAGCCAAGGTACTCTCCTGCTGTCCGAAGATCAGCGCGGGTACGTGACTGACCCCTTGTAGGTGGCTTTTCAGTTGTCGATCCAATTCGGGCTTGTTGCTAGTGATGTCGTATTCTGTGCCAGTTGCCTCCAAATTCTGTACGATTTCATGTTTCTTCAAACCTTTAAAAGGACAAACACCACCGTTCTTCTTGTTAGCGCCGGTAGGAAGGGAAGTCACCACCTGCCTCCTTTCTTCCAGGGTCTTTACCTCTTTCCTTATGCAATATCCAAGGTCTACAAACCGATCCATCTCCGCACCACACCCAGCTGTACAACCATACCTTCCCATGTGTTGCTCGCCACACTCGATCCACTGGGCAGGACCGTCACCCGTGAAGAATCGCATGTTGTTATGTATGTGCAGGCCTTTGTACTGGTTGGTGACAGACAGACTCTGTAGGTCTTCACGTTGGCATTTGGAGTATAGCAGCTGTTCTGCTACACTTGCTTTGCTTTTCGCGAGCAGGTAGACCTCAGGCTTTTCCACTATTTCCTGGACGTTTACCAGTCCCCTCCCCTGCTGTTCCAGCTCTTTTGGTGTGAAGAACACAGCAGGGTCATACAGGACATGTACTGTAACCAACAAGTAGCCAGTATTGAGAAGGCTGCTGTGATCCAACCATCTGCACAAGTGACGTGTGCTCCTCAACCTCTTCAGCTTCTCTCTTTTCTCTTCTACAGACAAGGTGTCATCATTTTCATGGATATCTTCAAGCAGACGATTTACAGCAGCTACATCCATGTTTTCATAATCTTCAACTGGCCGTAGAAGCCCATCTTCGAAGTGCCTCTTTGTCAGACGATCCAGGATTTCCTTTAGTGGTACTTTCCTTCCGGATGTAGTCACCTCCTGTTGTACCACCTTTCCTTCCTTTAGTGTCACCTTGGTATGCTTTTGTGGTACAATAAGCTCTCCCATGGAGAGCTCTCCTTCTTCCAACATTGATCTGATATCTTCTCTAATTTCCTTGTTAGGCCTTGTCTTAGGCCCTTTCACCTCACTGTACACACTTAGCAGACTTCTGCGTGCGTTGGGTTTCTTTCCCTTTCTCACAGTTGTGAATCTTTGCAGATCAACCTTTTCATCTAAGAGGAATTCCTTTACGATCATGCTCGCATGTGGTGAGTCACCAATACCATGCCGCCTTGCCAGGTCTGCATATACGATCTGTAAATGTGAACTTCAAGTCAGTTTGGCCTATGAAAGGACTGCATTAGGTCATGTCCATGTGTTTAAGTCAACCAATGTTAGATAAATGCAAACTCATAAATCAACAAAGTTGTTGTGTTTGCAGGGAATTTGTAGGTTTATTATTTCTTGTGCGTGTAATTGTTACCTCCACCAAGAAGGTTATGTTTTCGTTAGCAGTCTTGTGTGTGTGTGTGTCTGTCTATCAACACGATAACTGGAGAAGCCATGGATTGACTGTATTGAAAATTGGTATGTGGGTAGGCCTTGATGAGACCTCAAAATGGCTAGATTTTGGGCTCCCAAGCAGCCTGTTACGGTAACAATGGAACTTTATTTTATGATTGGGAAAGAGACATTTTATGTCATTAGTAATTCGTTTCCCAACATTAACTTGCAATTTATAGCATATATTTGAATGTTTTATAGCCTATTTATATGATTTACAGATGGTACTGCAGCAGAACGTTTGAAGCCGTTGACTTCTTGGTAGATCATTTGTATTGTCATTCCTTATCACTCTGTTCACTCTCCATCACTCTGTTCACTCTCTATCACTCTGTTCACTCTCCATCACTCTGTTCACTCTCCATCACTCTGTTCACTCTCCATCACTCTGTTCACTCTCCATCATCTGTTCACTCTCTATCACTCTGTTCACTCTCTATCACTCTGTTCACTCTCTATCACTCTGTTCACTCTCTATCACTCTGTTCACTCTCTATCACTCTCTATCACTCTGTTCACTCTCTATCACTCTGTTCACTCTCTATCACTCTGTTCACTCTCTATCACTCTGTTCACTCTCTATCACTCTGTTCACTCTCTATCACTGTTCACTCTCTATCACTCTGTTCACTCTCTATCACTCTGTTCACTCTCTATCACTGTTCACTCATCCAGAGTGATGGAGAACGACCAAAGAGATAGAGAGTGAACAGAGTGATAAGGAATGGCCAGAGTGACAGAGAATGTTGAGAGTGAACCAAAACAGTAGAGAAAGGCCAGAGTAATGGAGAATGTCCTGGGTGTAGTAGGAATTATACATTGTGTGCGGCCTACCTGTTGTGCATACGTGTATACGTGTATTTGTTGTGTGTGCTTACCTGTTGTGCATTCGTGTATTTGCATACGTGTGACTATGTAACTCATTTGCATGCATACATCTTGCATATATTGATAATTTTTTTTACTGTGATGTATGTCCAAGGCACCCCTATACCAAACTTCAACTGAGTCATTTGGTTGCAATTAACGTTGGCGCACAGGAGCCCAAAATCTACATTTTTGTCCTAAAATAGCAAAAAAGCCTAATTTTACACTATTTAAAGTAATTTATGCCAAAATCGTGATTTTCTGTGAACACGTGTCCAAGGCATCTCCATGCTTAATTTCAGACTATTTTGATGTAATACCACTGGCTCCAGAGCCCAAAATGTACATTTAACAGCTACCAACACACGGATCACAGTAACTGTTGTGTAATATTTTCGGTTGTAAAGTCTGTGCCTTGGTAACACTAAATGTGTTTTCTTCGCTTTGATGTAAGATACACTGATGTCGTTTCGTGATACATTGTACTTGTAAGTCATTTTTATACATTTTAGTGCTGTAATGAGGACGAAATTCACACGGTCTTCGCCTGCAAGATCCTTTGACAGGAAGAAGAGGAAACCAATACATTTCATTTGTATTTACATCTGTATGGTATATGGCTTAGATATGATTATAGCCAATCATATCATTAAGTTTTGTTGGGTCAGCTATATGCTTAATAACTGAGTGTACTAGGATTTAACTTTGGTCTGTGTCTGCAGGTACCACCATTGCTGTAGAGGCCAGGGATACCCGGGAGCATTTGATTGAGGTATGCTGCTCTAGATATCTTTAAAGTCAATTCTTTTTTTCATCACCCACTAGGTTCTTATCTCCAGTCTACTCTTAAGCGGGGGGATACCGGGCAGGTTACAAAAAACGTTGTACTTGCAAATATTGATCCTTCCCATGTACTAGTAATAGATATAGTGAAAGTTTTCCATTGCAGGGCTCAAAATCTTTTTTACTGCACAATGCACTGGTACTAAACCATCTCTACTGTGACATATATATGCCACTACATGCTACATGTATATGTGGTGGGATGCAGATTGAGAGTTTGTACACATCCAAACTACCTGCACAGCTCCTAATTCAGCTGAGTATACTAGTGTGTAGGTGCTATTTCAATCCCTTTGCCTGCCACTCTTTCTTTGCATGTGATAGTACAATATAACACATAAGGCAAGAACCCTATATTTTGATGAATTTTGTTTAAGTTATATTCATTTCAGTTATCATATCGACTTGCCATTTCTTACAACTAATTACATTATTAAGTGTTTGTGTGTGTGACACTGTGTTTGTCTATGTGCACATGTGACACAGTTATGTATGTGTGTGGCATCTGTGTGTGTGTGTGACACTGTGTGTGTGCACATGTGAAACTTATGTGTGCGGCATCTCTGTGTGTGTGACACTGTGTTGTGTGTGCACATGTGTGCACTGTTATGTATGTGTGTGGCATCTGTGTGTGTTTGACAGTGTGTGCTGTGTATGATAATGTGTGTGTGTGTCTGTGCACATGTGACACTGTTATGTATGTGGGTAGCACATGTGTGTGTGTGTGTGTGTGTGTGTGACACTGTGTTGTGTATGTGTATGTGTATGTGTATGTGAGTGTGTATATGGCTTTGATTTCTTTTATCGGCACTTCCTACCTGACACAACTTCTTTCTTTCCACTACACTTTTCTAGTGATAGACACAACCCCTGACAGCAGCCCAAGATAGGAAGACCTGGCTACACCTCTGCAAAGTCTGCCTTGTCCCCCTGGTGACCAGTGTCGGTTATGGAACTAGGTAGGTATTTGTGAAAGTTGTGGCATTCAACAAAAATACATGTAACATTTGAACTAATTCTGCTTGGTCTGCTTGCCAGATAGAGAAGAGCCATTTTTCTGACATCCTTACAGGATGAATTTTCAGTATATTACATAAGTTGTATATGTATTTTACAGATTAATAATGAACCCCAGTGAGTACTTTGATATGTTTTTTTTAATGATTTCGTACTCTTTATGTTTGCAGGTGCTACTTTAGCAGAAGGCTGTCAGTTCCATTGTCCATTGTACTCTGCTAGCAACTGAGGTACTTAGTATACTTAATATGCTGTTATTCTATGTATCAATTTGTGGTATGCTGAGAGGAGCAGATATGATTTGTTTTAGACAACATTCTTTTTGCCCTCTGACATTACATTCATCTCTGGAGTCCATCAGTACATGGGTAGGTTATATTTATGGACACTGTAATTTTAGATTCCTTCTATTTATTTCTGAATACCTGGTATATTTAAGGCAACATCTTCCATTTCTATTGTCGATTTGCCTTAGATATAGTTTTGGGCAGTTTAACAGTAGTTTCTAATACATGTATGTATGGAAGTATAAAGTACTCTTTCACAATTATTGTGTTTGATTCTATTTATGTCCATCCCTCTTCAAAGTTCAATTACTGACTTCTATAATGCAGGAGTTACGATGTAAAATGAGGATGACAAAAAAGACATTGGAGTTGATATACTTTATCACTGCTGTACTGTTTGATTGCTGTAATGATTATACTAGTATCCCATGTTGACATCTGTAAATCACTCCTTTGTTATAGATGCAAGCTGATACACCACTTATCACTGTTCCCGGCCTCTCTGGAATGACAGCCACTTCAAATATGCAGGGCCTAAGACTGACAAGTCCCTGTGCTACCAGATAAATCCTGATTTATGATTGAAAATGTACCTTTAGTCATTACTTTATGATATTACAGGTCATTCTTTTAACTGGTATGTAATTATGCATCAAATTGTATTTTGGGCCTGACAGATATTGCATATTATTCATTAATGTGTTTTTTGGAAATATTGTAAAGACCAAGAGGCAATATATGTACATGTATGTCTTATTTTCCATATACAGTACTATTGACAGCTGTGTGAAATGCATAGGGATAAAAAAGAGAGTAGATACATACTATGTTCACATAGATATTTTGTATACAATATTCTTCTTCATGTTCTTAGAGCTTCTAAACCCTACTCTCTATACATATACTAGTATCCTTTATGTGGAATGATTTTTTCAACTGTTAACTGGCATAGCAATGCTGTTATGTAATTGTGTTTCCAGTGAAGTAGTCCTTCTCTTGTGGTGAGTGTTGTGTGTGATGAATGTAAAGATGCTGAGCCTTTATTTTTTTAAAGACTGGCTCCTTTAAATAGACAGATATATGTAATGCTGTTTGTGATAAATGGTTCCATTAATAACACATGTCTATAAACACCTACAGCTAAAAGTAAAATGAACTGTTCATTTGAACATTGCAACAGTCACACTGTTTGATTGAAAACAGTGCAAGCACAAAGAATAAGACAACACTTTCAAACCAGGAAATAGGAAACAACTTTATTATCAAACTGCAAACACCTTCTTTATGGAACAGGCTAGGAGCTGCAATGACTTCTAACGTTACATGTAACAGTTACCTTACTTCCACTTGCCAAGGATTTGACATGTGTCAGCAGCCCCTCTCTGTCAAACTCAAGGTTTCTCCAATTAGGTGAGTGTCGCTTGGGCTTTTTCAAACCTGCCTTCTCTTTCGCTTTTCTTGCTTTTGCCCTCGTTTGTGCCTCCTCTCGAGTTTCATAGTATTGGGCCATTCTTCGTTGCTGGCGTTTGCAGAAATTCTCTCTTGTGCTTAAGAAGTTTGCCACATCTGTTTTTGCCCACTTCTCTTCTGTACTTCGTATGCATCTTCTTAATGTATCTCTCTTTTCCTTCTGTTTCTGGGCTCTTGTTTTTTTCACTTGAACATTCGCCTCTGGAATTTTCGTCAGGGCTTTGCCAAACGAGATATTGTGTGTGGCTTCGAACTTATCGTTGATAGATCTGTACAGCTGCCTAGCAGAGTCCGTAGCACTCAACCTAGCTTTGTTTACACCAGTGTTGTTAACATTTGAATTTGGCCAGAAAGCACTGAACGGTTTGTGCTTAGATTTCACACACTCTGTGCAATTCTTAAAACGATGCAAAGCCCTTTCTTGCTCTGGCAGCGCTTTAAAGGAAGACAAAGAAAAGTGTTCAATGTACTTGTACCTTTGGGTACCACTCAGCGAACCGAAAATCCTCTTGTGAACTTGGTGGCCGGTCTGGCGAAATTTGGCGTTGTCAGCAAACTCAAAATTCTCTCCAAGTAATGAAACAAAAGCGGAATGTTTATCTATGCACGATTTAAGACTCTTATCACAGAAAACTTGATTTAAAACAACACGACCAAATCCACACGTATAAACTGAACGAAACATGGCTGCAGGTGACGTAACTAATCAAACCGCGGGAAACCCCTCTCGTCCAATTGAGTGAATAAATGCAATATTTTGCTACAAAAACTTTATTTCTCTGTCTTTTTTTACATGAATACACCTAAGCAAACCATGAACTATCCAAATATGTTGTTATTAATGATTGTCTGAATGAAATACTACAGGAAAAAGATTGAAAAGGAGCCAAATACGAAATTTTCCGAAAAGGCCTTGCCGGCTCCGCCATTTTGTAACTAGGGGTAACGCACCCTGATTGGTCAATGGCGCTTGCAGGGGAGATCCCTGACGTAATCGGGTATTCGATTTCGCGGAAGCCGGCGGAGGGCGCTGTCGGCGGTTCTAAAGTACTGCGTGTAGTCACATGTAGGGGCTTCGTCCTCTGTCATGACAGCAGATTTGTCAAGAATATCAGTTACTTTTAATATCTAATCGCTTGTTAAAGAAAATTATCCATCGCTATTTTGTTTAATCATACAGGAATTTTCTCTACAGCGTTTTTTGGCCAAAAATAGGAAAAATTATCATTTTTGCTATTTTTGACCCAAATAAATTATGATGCCTTCATAGACTGCAAAATAGCGACGGATAAATTGAATCTATATTAGTTTGGCTGTAATACGGTGAAATATGAAGGTCCAGAATGAAAACTCCACCGAGGACGGGGCTCTTAAAATAAAGATATATTTTATTAACAAAAATGTGGGTTTTTAACCCAAAAAATACAGCATACCAACAGAGATGCACAATCATTTTATTAAACATAAGTAGTGATAGTACTGTGTGAAATTTCTTTAAAATACGGCTAACCAAACAAAAGTTACAAGCGTATACGTATTATACCGCACCNTATGCACGATTTAAGACTCTTATCACAGAAAACTTGATTTAAAACAACACGACCAAATCCACACGTATAAACTGAACGAAACATGGCTGCAGGTGACGTAACTAATCAAACCGCGGGAAACCCCTCTCGTCCAATTGAGTGAATAAATGCAATATTTTGCTACAAAAACTTTATTTCTCTGTCTTTTTTTACATGAATACACCTAAGCAAACCATGAACTATCCAAATATGTTGTTATTAATGATTGTCTGAATGAAATACTACAGAAAAAAGATTGAAAAGGAGCCAAATACGAAATTTTCCGAAAAGGCCTTGCCGGCTCCGCCATTTGTAACTAGGGTAACGCACCCTGATTGGTCAATGGCGCTTGCAGGGAGATCCCTGACGTAATCGGGTATTCGATTTCGCGGAAGCCGGCGGAGGGCGCTGTCGGCGGTTCTAAAGTACTGCGTGTAGTCACATGTAGGGGCTTCGTCCTCTGTCATGACAGCAGATTTGTCAAGAATATCAGTTACTTTTAATATCTAATCGCTTGTTAAAGAAAATTATCCATCGCTATTTTGTTTAATCATACAGGAATTTTCTCTACAGCGTTTTTTGGCCAAAAAATAGGAAAAAATTATCATTTTTTGCTATTTTTGACCCAAATAAATTATGATGCCTTCATAGACTGCAAAATAGCGACGGATAAATTGAATCTATATTAGTTTGGCTGTAATACGGTGAAATATGAAGGTCCAGAATGAAAACTCCACCGAGGACGGGGCTCTTAAAATAAAGATATATTTTATTAACAAAAATGTGGGTTTTTAACCCAAAAAATACAGCATACCAACAGAGATGCACAATCATTTTATTAAACATAAGTAGTGATAGTACTGTGTGAAATTTCTTTAAAATACGGCTAACCAAACAAAAGTTACAAGCGTATGCATATTTTACCGCCACCACCTTGGAATCACAGGCCTTAAACTACCTGAGTAGTCCTATCATGAATGCAGCTGATTTATAGAATTTCCTCATTAATTATGCAAATTACATTGATATTTGCATAATTGTAATATCATTATGTCAAGCATCACTTCAGCTACCTACATGCCAAAAATCACGACGATCCATCAATCGGTTCTTGAGTTATCAGCCTTTAAACATTTTTCAACTAACGCCCCTGCAGTTCCAGAGCAAGAAGCTAGGGGGCTCAAACTCATGTCACTTCATTCCCAGCCCAAGAGCTATCTACCATCTAAATTTCATGACCCTAGCATGTCCAGATCACGAGATATCAAAACCGGAAGTTCAGCTGCAGTACAATAAGAAGCCGCTATGGGGCCCAAATCTAATCAGTTCTAGGTCTCATCGAGACCTACCCACCTACCAAATATCAAGACGATCCATCTAAGCCTTCTCGAGTTATGCTGTTGACAAACACACAAACACACACACAGACACACAAACACACACACACACACAGACACACGGCCAGCAAAACATAACCTTCGTCAATTCTTGGCGAAGGTAATAACTCTCATCATAATTATCATTTACATACCTGAAAACAAAAAAACACGTTCAAATCTCCCAATCTCCCAGTTAATGTTACTCTATAGTATACTCTAAAAGTAAGCAACATAAGCAAAATAGTCTCCCATCCTTCTTCCCAATAAAGTTATAAATGGTAGGCGAGACCATCCTGAGGTAAACATCTTGCAAATGTTACCTTTCTAGTTCATAACAATATCTTCATTTACATATCATGTATTTGATAAGGTGTCGTAGTCGATGCAAACCAGTCACAATCACAGTCACAAGAAGTCATAATCCAAACAGATACTCGCAAATGATTATACACAACAACCGCCTAATATCTGCTTACAGAACCTCGCCTACCACACTATTCCACGGGATTACAGAAATAGGGGTGTTTCGGAATCATGAATTTACCTCAATATAAAACCCGCTGCGGTGAAAGGAAAACAACGTGTATAATCACGGACATAACGACACACCACACGGCTTCGGTCTTTGTCTTTTCATATGTCTACGCGGAATTTATGGTTTGTCTACATCGGAGATGTAGTCCATAATGTTAGGATTCCGAACAGTCCTAGAAACTTAGTATACGTACATAAACAACATTTTACATTTCCATCCGTGATGTAGATTCTACGTTGACTTGTTAAAAGCATGCCCCAGCATCCACTCGACCTCCGTACACATGTGATTTGCTCCCCTCCCCCTTCGCCCGATATACGAAACGACCGCTGGCTGTCCGTAAGAAATAAACTGAGAACGCTAAACACACAAAACAGAGTGCAATAATGGGTGGTAGAGACTCACCTTTACCACACAACTGCTGGTCACACGAAGCAGCTTGGGTGCGGGGAACTTTTGGTGACCTGTTCCCCAATGTTGTCTATCGGCGATCAGCGCCCAGTGTCGCTGTCTCAGTGAGGCGGCCAGCGAAATGTGACAGTACCGAAGGTTTACAGAGACAATATCAATGCTTTCCCACGTCATGTACAATGGTTTCTCAACGCAGTACAAACCTACGATGTTACAAGAAGAGAAGTCAGGAGCTACAGTAGATCGATTCACCTCTATTGCCGCCATGATTCAAACTGAATTGGTACTTCCGGTGAACGTATATATCTTCTACAGAACAGAAACCGAAATGCATTGTTGGAATGGCGTGTTTCCTTCTCTGAAGGGAACGATGTGATCTAGCTGCGAACACGAAAAAACGAGTGCCCCAAAAACTCCGTCCGGAGGCCATGACCTCCTTCACGGAGTAATTATTCATGCACCTCGTCTATACTAAACCTATGACTAGTCTCTACCCTGCTTCAGATACGGCTGGAAAGAGTAGAAATTGGCCTATTAATCAATTAATACAGATAGCATGCCAGGCGAGTTAGTCCACTAAAAGAGAGACTATACTGAAGCCCCAACAATCTCCAAGCCTACTTTAAACGCACACCGCCAAGGCTGCTAACGTTTTGTAGAAATCTTCTGACCGCAGGCTACCTTCGATCGACAGCTGTGGTCACGTGGCAGACGTAGTGGGTCATTCATACTGCACAAGACCGCAGGAAAAATCGATAGCTAACTGTATCACAACAAAGTTATTGTAACTTATAACTTTTCTAACCATCAGTGTCCATGTGAGAGACCAGGCGAAAACCCAACCATGACGACATCCCTGACACAGCCAGTGTCCACGGCTATGGTTTCGGCAAGAACGGAGACTGCGCCAAACTATCTAGTGGTCTCGACAAGTAAGGTCATGAGTTCTACTGGGTCAGGGTCGACTTCTCAAGGCGATGGAAATGCAGCTACTGAAGAAACTACTGCTACTACAGGTCCCAGTACACCGTCACCTGTCACAACAGAATCTACAAGCTCTGGCGCTGGTAAGAAACTCCAGTATTACAGTTGGGGGATCCATTTTATCCACTTTATATTCATAAATTGATGTAGACTGTACTTTAGGATTTAGCAGTTACAATTTTCAGTCGAATCCTAATCGGAATTAACGGCTACTCTAAAACCTGGGTTATCTCTAAAAACGTAACGGTTCACCTTTACAGGTTTCCAGGTCCGTCTTGCCGGCGGCCCCACCCCGCTTGCAGGCCGAGTGGAGGTGCGGAACGGGACCGGCCCTTGGGGTTCCGTCTGTGATGACCGGTGGGCCCTGCAGGACGCGCATGTCGTCTGCAGGCAGCTCGGCTTCGGGACGGCCCTGGAGGCGAAACTGGCGGGCCATTTTAGAGAGGGTTCTGGGAGTGTTTGGTTGGACGAGGTGGCCTGTGAAGGAACCGAGACGAACCTGGGAGACTGTCCTGCTGAGCCCTGGGGACAGAATGACTGTTCACACAAGGAGGACGCCGGAGTCGTCTGTGGAGGTATAATCCATTCTTTAGATGTTAATAAATGAATGACTTTTTATTGCTGAAAACGGAAAGTTGAACGTTTTCGGTGTGTCCAAAGGTGAAGCAGCACTCCGGCTGGTTGGCGGTTTGGCGTCGTGGAAGGGACGTGTGCAAATCCGGCCGTGGGGAGCGTTAGAGTGGGGTGCCGTGTGCAACACCAGCTGGACCGAGGCTGAGGCGGAGTTCGTGTGCAGGCAGCTGGGACATGCCGGCGGGAGGATCGAGGCCGGACAGGCTGACTTCGGGGAAGGCTCGGAGAAGATCTGGCTGGGTAACGTCACCTGCAGCGGGAACGAGACCAACATCCTGTCCTGTGGCTTCATCTGGGAACCTGCTGACTGTGATCATCGCCAGGATGTACAACTTGTCTGTACAGGTTAGTAAACGAGTCACTTCATCACATGCACATGGCCATGTTATTGCTTCTGCTGTTAATATATAGATACACGAGGCCAAAAGCTGAGAAGTCATTCGGCAATTTGAATGTGGTGATCAGGACAGTGTGATTCTGCAGGTGGTGTGTCTGTCCGGCTTACGGGAAGCCGAAGCCCGTTGCAAGGCCGCGTGGAGGTCAAGCCCGGTAATCTGGACTGGGGGACGGTCTGTGATGACGGGTTTGACGACAGGGACGCTCAGGTGGTCTGTAGACAGCTCGGGTACCGTGGGGGAGTCGCCACGGTGGGCGGAGATTTCAGAGAAGGGACGGGAAACATCTGGCTCAGGAATCTGGACTGTAACGGCAACGAATCTTCTCTAGAGAGCTGTCGGATCGAGAATGATGATAACGGGAACTGTGGCCACAGGCAAGATGTTGGGGTGGTTTGCAAAGGTTTGTCTTCGTTTTCAAATGATGATAATTTTACTTCTTGATAAAAGGCAATGAAGACAACGACGTCGACCTGCAGTATGAAAATCCCGTCTTGTCCAATATTGAATCATTCTATTTCTCAAGAATTTTGCAAATGAGGTCTTCATTTGTTTGATTTATGTCTGCTGATGTTCTTATGTCATGTTTCAGCTACATATGCCATGTTTCATATTTCTATCATCATGGCAATGGGTGTATAAACGTTGCGTATTAATTATGCAAATTAGCTCCTAAATTATCTCGTAAGGCCACACCAATTTAATTTGTTGGTTCTCGGATTTTTTCAGAAAAAATGTGAAGCGACAGGGCGAAAAAAAATATAGATAAAAACAGGTCTAGGCATCCTATTATAGGCTTAAATGCTACTAAATGAGCCATGAAGTCAACACAAAAGGCTGGGTTAAAATTTAAACATTGAATTTTGAACTTTAATCAAACCACTGCAATGATAGATGGAAAAACTGTAACAACCAGGAAGAAAAGGACTTTCCTCAGCTGTTGGGGGGGCAAAACATGAGCATTTTTCAGTTGATTCAGGACCAGAATCAATTTTTTTTTCCAAATCAGAAAAAAACGAAGAGGCGAATCCGAGAACCAACAGATTAAATTGGTGTGGCCTTACTAGAGCTACATGCAAAAGTCAACACCATTCGTTATGTCATCTTTGATATTTCTATCATGCATGGTTGCGAATTTTTAAAAGCTCATTATGCTAATTAGCTCGTAATAAGCATAATTAGCATCAAAAGTCATGTTGACCCCTTCTGGGATTATTCTCCTTTAAAGTCAATTAGAGAAACGAATTCGGCACTTTCAGTTCAAAAAAGCTGCTAGGGGCGCATGGTCTACGCCTCTTCAAAGGCCAAAATAAATCATGCCCACTTTATTTATGCCAAGAACACGAGATATTAAAAATATTAAGTTTGTTTGTTTGTTGTAGGGGCCCAAATGTAATAATTTCAAACTTATCGCAATTTAAGTTATTGGATTTGATAAGCAGATGTTGTGTTTTAGGTGACGTGTCCGTCCGACTTACTGGAGGCCAAAGTCCGTCAGAGGGTCGCGTGGAGGTCCGGCCCGGAAACGGGGACTGGGGGACGGTCTGTGATGACGGGTTTGACGACAGGGACGCTCAGGTGGTCTGTAGACAGCTCGGGTATCCTTCAGGAGTCGCCACGGTGGGTGGAGTCTTTCCGGAAGGGACGGGAAACATCTGGCTGGAAAATCTCAGCTGCTCAGGAAACGAGTCTTCTGTGGCGGACTGTGAGATCAGCAGGTGGGGAGACCATGACTGTAGCCACAAGGAAGACGCGGGAGTCATCTGTGTACCAGGTATGATGTAAACTTATTGCACCGCAGTTATTACCTTCGCCAAGAAGGTTATGTTTTCAGGGACGTTCGTGGGAGTGTTTGTGTGTGTGTGTGTGTGTGTGTGTGTCTGTCTGTTTAACGATAACTTTAGAATGCTTAAATGGACTGTCTTGATATCTGGTAGGTGGGTATACGTATGGCTTGACGAGTCCTAGCGGCTTGTTATGTTACTGCAGCTGAACTTCCGATTTTAACAAGACTGGCAATGAAAAAAGTCACTGTCATGATTTTGGAGAAGCTAGATGTGCATTATCTTGCACTTTGCAGGGTGCTGTTTCATGGAGCTTTTAGTGGTCTAACGGTCTAGTCCATTCAGGTCTTCCTATGCATCAGTGTTAATGTTAATTTGGCGAAGATATGAGATCGGGGAACTCTTGTTTTAAAAGTGATTAAAAACCAAGACTTTAAAACGTTAATTTCTGTGTGTGTACAAAGGTAAGATGGCTGTCCGGCTGGCTGGTGGTCACGTGCCCTGGGAAGGACGAGTGGAGATCCGTCCGGTGAACAAGTTGGAGTGGCGTGTCGTTTGCAACACCAGCTGGACCGAGGCAGAGACGGGTGTCGTGTGCAGACAGCTGGGGTATACAGGAGTCGTGAGTTCAGCTCCTACAGTAATCACAGGTACAGACCGGACCTGGCTGGGTCACGTCACCTGCAATGGAACTGAGAAAGACATCGCGTCCTGTTCATTTGGCTTGGACTCCAACGACTGTTCAGAACATTGGCAGGGTGTACAAGTCGTCTGCACAGGTTTGTGCTCACAAGTTTCCAATTCACTTGCAGGTTCGCCAATATGCAATGAGAACTAGATTGAGGCAAACAAAAGTTAAGATGTAGCGCAACACCGAATAATCAGCAGTCGAACCCAGAAAACCTAGAACCAAACCAAACAGCAAAGATAACTTTTTTTCAGTTTGCATTCTGAGATGTATCTGTATAGAGATGTATCTTATACATGTATCGCACTCTTAGATAAATGTATAGAAATCTATGTAACCACTTTGTCCGGATTTCCAGATAGGACTCTAATAGTTGACAAAATGAAATGTTTAGGTGACGTGTCCGTCCGACTTACTGGAGGCCAAAGTCCGTCAGAAGGTCGTGTGGAGATCCGGCCCGGAAACGGGGACTGGGGGACGGTCTGTGATGACGGGTTTGACGACAGGGACGCTCAAGTGGTCTGTAGACAGCTCTTGTATCGGGGAGGAGTCGCCACGGTGGGCGGAGTCTTTCCGGAAGGGACGGGAAACATCTGGCTGGAAGATCTCAGCTGCTCAGGAAACGAGTCTTCTGTGGCGGACTGTGAGATCAGCAGGTGGGGAGACCATGACTGTAGCCACAAGGAAGACGCGGGAGTCATCTGTGTACCAGGTATGATGTAAACTTATTGCACCGCAGCTATTATCACTAGTACTATATAGCCTTTTACTAAATAAACATGTTGCCACAGCTATTCTGTCTCTATAATCCTAAATGCCCTTCTGTTATTTTTCATCACACAGTGTCAGACTGCGCAGATCTCTATGCAGCAGGAGAGACTACAAGCGAAGTCTACAACATTAGGCTCGGCTCCTCTATCTTGGAGACCTACTGTGACATGGATACCGCAGGTACTGTATGGTGAAACATGGAGATATGTCACAGATTTCCTTGTGTATCCACTTATTATTAAGTTATATCTGTGCTGGGGAAGCAAGACTATAAACGTTGGTAAGTTCTTTTTGGTTGACTTAATGTCATGTTTTATTGGCATAAAATATGATTGAAGCAATGATGTACCGTTTCCCTTGTGGTGCAAAGGAGGTGGATGGACTGATCCAGCGACGACAGGACGGGTCGGTTCCCTTTAACCGGACATGGGAGGAGTACAAGCACGGGTTTGGGAACAAGAGCGGGGAATACTGGCTTGGGAACGAGAACATTCACCTCCTGACCAATCAGAAGAACTATCGCCTCAGAGTGGACATGCAGGATTGGGAAGGTCAAACACGGTATGCGGAATTCTCCAGCTTCAGGTGAGTAAAACACCTCTAGGTAAAGAGTATTGTCAACTGAATACATTGAAATATTTCCAGGAAGAGTGCTTTCATCCAAGGGAACCCTCCATTGCAGCATAGACAATGTCAATGAGTACGTGTGACTGTGTGTGTGTGACTGTGTGTGGCGCTGTATGTATGTGTGTGTGTGTGTGTGTGTGTGTGTGTGTGACTCTGTATGTGTGTGTGACTGTGTGTGTGCGCGCGCGTGTGCCTAGAGTGAGGTTGCGTGATCGTTTATCGTGTGTGCCTTGTGTTTGAATGAATGAATTAATTAATGTATTGAATGCACAACAGAATCCTTTAAGATTTCCTGAAAATAATTTCATCAAGTTGGTAGGACATATACATAGGTTACGGGAAATGTTTTTTGTTTGTTTAGTCTGTTAAATGTCCCCACTTAGGGTGTCTGGTGAGTCGGACCAATACAGGCTGCGCATTTCCGGGTATTCAGGCGACGCGGGAGACTCCATGCGTTACAACAACAGGCAGAGGTTCTCCACTGTGGACAGGGACAATGATGCCTACTATAGCAGCCACTGTTCTCAGCTGTACGGACAGGGCGGCTGGTGGTACAGGACCTGCAGCGTCGCCTTCCTCAACGGTCGCTACCTGGGCAACTGTGGGGACTCCTGTCCATTAGGGCAAGGTGTGGAGTGGTATTTTTGGAGAGGTCATTACTCCCTGAAGTCTGTATCTATGAAGATCAAACCATAAACGACGTATGGCACTACCCGTGTATTATGTGTTGGCATTCTAAATGAATTTCATTAATCACTAAGATGAAAAAATAACATTGCCTATCTGATAATATTCAGGTTACCGCAGAATAATAATCACACATGGTCTGGCCATAAACAACATATTACCTGCCCTATTTCCGATATCTGTTAGCATTTTCTATAAATTCATGAAGCACTAAATCAAAATGAAACTTTTTCTATTTTATTTTGTTGTTAACGTTTGAGTTGTTGCTGCTTGCATAATATCTAGTTTTGGACGAAACAGATAAAATGTTAATGCGAAACGAAGATAATGCTGATTATCACTAATCGGTGACAAAACTTACTACATTTGTATAATCATTGTAATTGTATCTATTGACATTATATATGTCATTACTTTGGTCAGCGTAGACAGATTGAGCTGGTGATGACTGACCTAATACAAATCGAAAGCGTAAATCAGAATCTAAGAAATCCTGCATTGAATAAGTTGAATGAATTATTACATTACACGCTGGAAGGCAAGACAGAATGATACTATGTATTGGAGTAAAGCTCTAAGTAATCTTTTGGGAAAGTTAAGAAAATCGGATGCATTTTTCAAAGCGAGAAACATAATAAGCTGTTGAATAATTTGATGACAAATCATTAGATTAGTGTCATTGCATTTTTGCATTGTATTGTAACTAGAAGTTTTAATTAAAAGAAATAAAATATGGTGATTTGCACTTTTTCTTTCATATGCCTGTTGGTAGATCTTCGTGAAATCTAACATCATACTAAGAAAGGCTGGACGAAAACTGTAATAAAAACAGAATATTGTAAGTACCTGTCTGCATTATAGTACATATTCTATATATTATCGGTTCGGGCCCTGAGTGGTCTAGGCACTCCATTTCATAGCGACAATGGTTAACCCCCTGCCTTATCCCTCCATCGATAGCTACAATGGTTAGCCCCTGCCTTATCCCTCCATTCGATAGCTACAATGGTTAGCCCCTGCCTTATCCCTCCATTCGATAGCTACAATGGTTAATCCCTGCCTCAGCCCCTTATTTGATAGCCACAATGGTTATGCCCTTGCCGTATTCCCCCATTTGATAGCCATAACGGTTAACCCCCTTGCTTTATACCTCCGTTTGAAAGCCACAATGGTTAACCCCCTTGCCGTATCCCCCCTTTCGTTCGATAGCCACAGTGGTTCTCCTCTGGTCTGTCACCATGCCTGACCTTGTTGTTGTGCGGCTGATACCCACAACTATTTCACGTCACGGCCGAGATGGCGAGTGTTTTGCTGCTCGTCGAATTCCTTCTTACCCTGGGAGCCATCCTCGTTGGGCGTCGCGGAGAGTTGGGCACAGCCTAGAAATAGAAAATAGACATCTAATACATGTAAATCATGACAGAAAAGGGGCATCAAAAGTCACCTACCTGAGTTTTAGGCCATCCATATCACACATTGACTGGGTAGCACATCATCTAAACTGTCCATTTAGCCCAAAATTTCAAAATCCTACGCACCTAAACATCGTTAAAATCCTTGTTCACATTGGAGGGTGACCTCTGACCTCCCATGGACAGCACAGCAATGCATGTAAACATATATCTTCTTTTCTTTGCTGGACATCTCAAACATGGCTGAAAGTCTGTTTTCTGAACAAAATAAAAATTCAAGAACCCTTACCTGTAACATCCAGCTCCAAAAGGCAACATTTCCCACAAAAAAGACTTTTTACATTTGGTTTTGTATTGCCAATCTCTATATACTTAAACTGGCCCCAATACACATGCGCGGATTCCTAACCTTTGCCCAGTTAGTAAACGCCGCGGGCCCATCGTTGGAGCGGCGGACCTAGGGGGTTTACGTAATTACTCTCCAAGCAGAGGTTGGATGGGAAGATTGTGACCTTTTTCTATGCCCCGATTTTTCTGACAGCCGGCCCAATTGGATGCTGTCGGCCGGCTGTCTTTTTTGGCCACCAAAAGATCTGCTTGGAGATTATGTGTAATTACTGTCAGCGCGGCGTAGAGGGTTTCCGCATGTGGTTTCCGCGCGGCCTAGAGGGTTTCCGCATGTGGTTTCCGCGCGGCCTAGAGGGTTTCCGCATGTGGTTTCAGCGCGGCCTAGAGGGTTTCCGCATGTGGTTTCAGCGCGCGGCGTAGAGGGTTTCCGCATGTGGTGCCCAGCGTAGGGCGGGGAGGGTGTGTGCCGGGGACGGGCTAACCAGGGCCGGCGGTGTTTACTAACTCTCCGCGACGCCCAACAAGGATGGCTCCCAGGGTAATTCCTTCTGTTCGGCAGGCCGAGTGTGTGTGTGTGCAGTGCGCGCAGTGTGTGTGGTGTATACGTCCGTTTGTTTGTGTGTGTGATTGTGTACTATATGTGTGTGTTGGATAAATATATAGATCTATAGAGCATTTAATGGGTGAGATATCGTTGCCGTCACTCTTTAAAGTAGCCTTGAACTTGTCATTTACCTTGCCGTCAGTTACAGCTCCGCTAGGCAAAGCACCTTTGCTACTTTTACCGGGATTCATTGCTGATTATACCCATCAAGTGTATAAATTGTTACATAGATAATATAAATAAGTCTATAAATAGTCGCGAAAGATAATGCTTGTGACGTACAACACATTTCTAAACTTTGTAAAAATAAAATCAGCAACGGCAGTAGGCAAAATTGTCTAGAACAATATAATTAATTAAACGCAGGCACAGACACACACACACTGGAGTCAAAACGCCACCCCTTACAGACAGCGTTTACAGTAGTTAATAGAAAACTATGGTCGGCGTTAGATGGTATATACTGTGCTGAGATGTCCTCTCCACATCCTGAGAGAAACGCTGGGAACAGTTTTACTGTGTCAAGAGTAACGCTCGGGCAAAGAGCTGAGTTGAGTGTACGTACGACCGCGCTGTGCGTGATGGGCGGAGCTAAGGTCCGTCCGGCAGGTCAGGTCACCCAGCCTGCTCGGCGTGTGCAGGCGGGCGTTCTATTTACGTCTGGAAGTAACTTTGCTACGCCACGCATATATACATTCTACGTTAACTATTTTACAGGTAAGTGTTTCTCCGGGGTTATGATATCACTTTGAATATCAAGACTGACTTTGGGATTCGGAAACAGACTCAAACAGTAGTTAACTGGACTGTCAAAAATAGATGTCGATGGGGGAGGGGGGCAAAAGTCAGGTTTGAATAGGCTTTGCAAAAATCTGGACTAGGAACTAAGGGAGGGTTTGAGCTAATCTCGAGAAGGAACTAGGGAGGGGCTGCTATGGAGGACTTGATTTCGAGCGAATCTGGAACTAGCAGGGCCCGAAACACTTAAATGTCTGCCGGTATTGAAAATTGGAATAGCCGCTCAGCTCCTATTGAAAGGGCATGTGCAGGTTAGTGCAGGTGAATTTTCACCTGCACTAACCTGCACATGCCCTTTCAAGCCCGGGCTAGTCGAACTTCCACTTTGAGCAAATCTGGACAAGGAACTAGCTGGACAACTGGAACTAGCTTGGCTTCTAGTAATACTCAAGTAGTTTTCTTTGCATAATTTTTTATGGAACATTTACATTGAAAATCATCTGCACCAGACACATTTTACCTGTACCACTCAGAACATAATGGATTACACTGAAAACTGGAAACTACTAGTATTGCTATCATTTCTTTTAAACTTAACACATGGTTACAGTCAATGCAGCAAATAAAAATCCAAATATGCCTACATTTTTATATAAATTATATAAAAATATAGGCATATTTGGAGTACTACATGGTCATGGACCAGTGCAGGTTTGGTGCAGTTGAATTGTGCACGGAACAGGTAGTAATATGGCCTTTTTGTCTAGGAACCAGGTAAGGCACTGGTGCACCGTACAGGTGATACTAGTATCTGTGTGGCTCTTTCATCTAGGAAACCGGGTAAGGCACCGCACAGGTGATACTAGTAGTATCTGTGTGGCTCTTTCATCTAGGAAACCAGGTAAGGCACCGTACAGGTAATACTAGTATTTGTGTGGCCCTTTCATCGGGGAACCAAGTAAGGCTCCGTACAGGTAATATCTGTGTGGCCGTTTCATCTGCATGGGGACCAGATAAGGCTCCAAACAGGTAATATTTGTGTCAGCCTTTCAGCTGTAGACCAGGTAAGGCACCGTGCAGTTGACATCTGTGTGGCCTTTTCATCTGGTAACCAGGTAAAGTACCGTACAGGTAATATCTGTGTTGGCCTTTCATCTGGGGACCAGGTAAGGCTCCATACAGGTAATATTTGTGATGGCCTTCCAGCTGTAGACCAGGTAAGGCACCGTACAGGTAATATCTGTTTGGCCCTTCCATCTGGGGACCAGGTAGGGCACCATACAGGTAATACCTGTGTCAGCCTTTCATCTGGTAACCAGGTATAGGGCACCGTACAGGTAATATCTGTGTCAGCCTTTCATCTGGTAAGCAGGTAAGGCACCGTAGAGGTAAAATCTGTGTCAGCCTTTCATCTGGTAAGCAGGTAAGGCACCGCACAGGTAATATCTGTGTCAGCCTTTCATCTGGTAAGCAGGTAAGGCACCGTACAGGTAATATCTGTGTCAGCCTTTCATCTGGTAACCAGGTAAGGCACCGTACAGGGAATATCTGTGTCAGCCTTTCATCTGGGCACCAGGTAAGGTACCATACAGGTAATATCTGTGTCAGCCTTTCATCTGGGCACCAGGTAAGGTACTATACAGGTAATATCTGTGTCAGCCTTTCATCTGGTAACCAGGTAGGGCACCGTACAGGTAATACCTGTGTCAGCCTTTCATCGGGACAGACTGCGAAAGGAAAAGAAAGAAAAACAAAAGACGAGACCAGCTCAGCATACTTCAACATTTATCTGTGAGAGCTGCAACAGAGACTGCCACTCAAGGATCGGTCTATACAGCCACAGGAGAACCTGTTCAAGGAGGCGCGTGCCATCGTCTGCCCAGACGGAGGGAGGCCAATGATGATGGAGCTTATGGAATAAAGTGAAATCTATAGAGATATTTGGGTAAAACCTATCACCCAGTTCAGTGTCACAAGAACACTAAAATCAGAAGCACGAGACAAATAACTATTAGAGGAAGCCCACTCCAACTGTATTGTTCAAGGACAACACTGTAAGATACAGTTAGATAGACATAGGAATGGTTATCTAGAGTTTTATTCTTCCATAGTGTTAAATCTTACCTGCAAATACACATTTGTAGGGCATGTACATTGTACATCTATTATAATGTATGATATGACTGTAAACAACAGCAATTTTCAGAGATGACTTTCATATCCTTGCATAGTAACTGTGACGATTTAATGCATATTCATACCCTGTAAGATATGAAACAAATTGCAAAAATCCGTAGAATCCATAATGGGAGTAGGTATTTATGAACATTAAAGTAAAATGGATCTCTGATAACATACCTCTCTGACTTTGTTGCCTATTTTACTTTCAAGATCTATCCTTGGGAAGCTCTTACAAACAATTTGTGAGTGTGTCTGTTTGTGTGTGGGGGAAACATTAAGAATTTGAAGATGGATAACAAAACTTGATAAGTGGACAGGTCTTGGACATTATTAGATTTAGGGTCCCTGAGGCAAAAATAGCATATACTAGTATTTTGGCTCCAAA